GCGAGGGGTGGCTTAAGCGTTCGTTAATTGGCCGGTTTACTCTAGTCTATATATTTGCTATATTTGCTATATACACAGTCCAAGTGTCTAGATACATGTTTGTTGGTGTAACATCATACAAATGGAATGTCTGTATGCCTCGTCCGGCTGTCCTTTGCATATCTGCATTCAATTGGGATTTCCGACGCACTCTATGTATCACTCAAAGCACGTAGGGAAGAGCACGATCCGATGCATGAACTTTTTGTCTTGAGGGCAATACATTTGTTGCCCGAACTACACAGAACATACATATCCGACCTTGTGTTTTGGACATGAACACAAGAGTGCGCTGTAACGAAAGCACCAGGAAAAGATGTGTGCAGTGGACGGATCTCACACCAATGTGTGTTGGATCGTTTACGCCACATTTAGGAGCGCCTTTCATTACCCGGCCAAAGCCCCGCCTACAGGCTGTCTATCGTGCAATCCGTGCACCATAAATGATCTATTCGACGATCCACGGTGGGTCACACAACCGAAACTCCGTTAACGGTTGCCCGATGAGAGAGGCTATAGCAGGAATCCCGCTAGCGTCAAGCCAAGCTTTAATAGCCAACACCATTCTCTCTTGTCCGACCCTGTTATATACCCTCAGGGTGCGAGGAACAAAAAACACGTTTGTATCCGCAATACATACATGCCATGTGACATCGGACAGCCACAGTCTTCGTGCAGGGGTGGTCTGTCTTACTCTGCTACGACAGCTTGCCGCTGGGCACACCTTCGCAGGAAACCGTCAACCTTGATACTGTTATGAGCAGGCACAAATCAAGTAGCAGCCAACAATCTTCATTACGAATGCATCGTTTTCTCATCCTCCTCTCCGCCCTTCTCGTTGCGACCCGAACAAAACGCCAAACCAATTTACTGCACCAATCAATACCATCATCACCCCCACCACCTATACTAACCGCACCAGCTTGGCATAAAATGTCGCGACAAATTCCCTACGGTTATTTCGAGGCTCCAGTCCCTCGTACCCTCTACATATACCTCGCCATGGTGTTAGTTCCGAGCCTGTGAGCCCTCTCCCTGGTGGTACTGATTTCCCTGGCGGTACTGCTGCTGGTAAAGCATCTGCTGCTGCTGCTGCTGCTGTTGCTGCTTCTGCTGCTGCTGCTGCTGCTGCTGTGCGTCGTACCACTGCATTAGTCGGGGGCGTATCGCAGGAACAACGTCCGGTCGAACGGACGAAGAACGGCAAGAAGGGCGGAGGAATGAGTGTCACTTCTCAACACGCCAAGGAAGGAGAGCCCAAGAAGCAACTTCAACACATGTACAACACATGCACGTTCGATCGCGGGAAAAGAGGTTGCTCGATCACTCGTTAGCGGCAGCCGTTGCTTAGTTCCGTTTCCTGCAGGCAAGGTTTCCACCACGTACCCACCAACTCTAACCGTCACCCGGGCGATAGTCCCCCCCCCCGGGCTCCGACACTTGTAATGCTTCTTCTGCACAACCATCTTCTGACTTCACCCAGAACGTCTTTGGAAGCTGCTGCTGCTTCTGCTGCTGCTGCTCCTGCTGCTGGATTAGTGACACTTTCGTTGTGCGTGGCTAGCTAATCTACCAAGGAGTGCCTTCGCCCCCGACCATTCTCTTCTAACTCCCTCTTGTTAGGGCGGGTATGAGCGTGTTCGCCCGCCAAAATCGAAGACATAGTTCAGTTCAGCCTTCTGCACCATGTATGAAAACGGTGTTGGAGTTGACGTTGATGTTTATACTCCATCTCTTGTAATGAAGATCGCATCTCGAGCACACCCGCCCTTGATCTCCCATCCCAACGCACCACTCTCCTTCAATAAACAGCTAACACCTTCCATGCGTAACGGGGGATCAAAAAAGAGACGAATCAGTAATTCTCTCCCCAACCATCATCACCACACGCACTCTCACCTGCTGCTGCTGCTGCTGCTGCTGCTGCTGCTGCTGCTGCTGCTGCTGCTGCTGCTGCTGCTGCTGCTGCTGCTGCTGCTGCTGCTGCTGCTGCTGCTGCTGCTGCTGCTGCTGCTGCTGCTGCTGCTGCTGCTGCTGCTGCTGCTGCTGCTGCTGCTGCTGCTGCGGCTGCGGCTGTGGCTGTTGTGCGTACTGCGCCTGGTACGCCACGGCCGCGGCATCCTGGGGCCCCGCGGCTGGGGTGGCAGCAGGTGTCTGCCCCCACCGTGTTCCGGGGCGGGCAGGCGCCGGAGCCCCCGCGTACCCAGCCTGCGAGCCGTAGGAAGGCTGGCCCGAGTTGTAACCGTAAGCCCCACCGCTGTACGTCGGGTACTGCGCCTGCCCGGCTGCGGGGGCCGGGGCCGCCGGCCGCGGGGGAGGGGGAGGGGGGACGTTGTCCGGCGGGAGCGGGGGTTGCTGGTAGTGCTGGTTGTGGCTGCTGCTGCTGCTGCTGGTGCCGTTAGAGGAGGAGGCCTGGCGGGAGCTCGACTGCGTCATGGGGGTTGGGGATGATAGAGCGGTGGGGAGCAAGCATGGAGACAGATGAGGGACGGTACCTACAATAGCCGAGACAACAAAACGTGACGATGAAACGACAGCCGTTGTAAGGACGAACGCTAATTCGGATACGGGAGTTGAAATTCTCCGGCCTTTCTTCCAACATGACCTAGTATTCCACACATATATTCGTCATGTACTACAGCGTAGGGAGTTCATTGACAACAGCAGTGACATTAGAATGTTTTGCCCTCACCTTGCGGCTGGTCCTGCTACTTCTCCCGAGCTGCTGCGCGTTGAGCTTAAACCACTTGAACAGCTCGGGCAGCGTCTTGAAGCAGCGCTTGGACATGACGTACCCTTCCGGGCTAACCTCTACCACGATCTTCCTCACGCTGAGAAATACCAAACCATCACGATGACGGTTCCAAATATACAATACATGGGTTCATTCGTTTCGAACAGAAGCACGGGCGCGCGATTCAGTCAGAAAGCACGAGGTTGAAGAACAAGTCGAGAGAGATAAATCCTTTGTCAAACTGCGGCTACCTCTACGTCGAATCGAATCCAGCTGATGAGTCCAGCGGTTTCACGACCTCTCTTGCGCCTACTTGTACGGTAGCCCTCCCGTCTCTCACTACTTCGGTATAGACAGAGACCACGAATGGTGAGAGTGCGACACAACACTTGCAACAACAAGGGCTGCGCTCCTCACGTGTGTGCAGGAAGGTACATGAGGTTCACGTAGCCCGGCACCCCCCTCCGACACATTAGGTAGGGGATGCGATTCGGGGAGTCGTCTTTCTGCTTCTGAAGCGTCTTCTCCACCTCCGCGCTGGTGCCGGGGTTGTACTGTCCAGGAGGAGTGATGAGGAACGTTAACGGTTAGCCAACAACGATCAGAGAAGTGATGACAACATTCGATTGATTCAATTGGGTAGCAAGGGGAAGCGATGATACGACACAATCGATTGTTCCAGCCGAGAAATTAGCCAACAACAACAAGACTAGAGAGTTGATGACACCATACGATGGATTGATTCAATTGGGTAAAAAAAGGGAAGCGATCATACGATACGAAACGATTGATTGAATAGCCAAGAATAAATGATGGTACAATACCATTGATTCCCTTGCCGGTGGGTTTGTTCGCATGGGACAGAAGCAAGCTCAAGAAGCCACAGCAAAGACAACACCTACTGCAAGCACAAGCACGGCTGCACCGGCAAGAACTCGCGTACGCCACATGGCAGCCGATCTATGCTAACGCAGCGCAGGAACAAACGCTAGCACTGGCCACTGAAAAAAATGACGCCAGCCTGCCGGTGGAGCAAAAAGCCGCCAACTATTCCGGCAGACCAAAAGAATGCAACCTAGTCCCACCAAACAGTGGCACGTATACTTGTGCAAAAGCTTAAATCCGACTTCAGAGTAACGCGGATCGTCCCTTGGAACGTTCCATGGGAGTCAACGATAGGAAGTAAAGTAAATCACCTTGTCGCTGGCAAGAAGATCGTTGACCAAGTCATTGCACGCCGACACCCTCCTGGAGATAATTTCGTCCAGGTCTTCGTACTCCTCTCCCCCAATCTTGAGGCGAGGCGCGAGCATGCTCCCCGGCTGTTTCCCGAGTTCCTGTCCAAGTTCAAAGCCCAAAACAACAGCAAGAGCAACGATTGGTTGAGTTAGGGGCAGCAAAGGGGTGACGGTTAGCTCTTGGGGAATTTTACACGCCAAGTTGTCAAAGTCAAAGCCAACACAACAGCAACAGCAACAGCAGCATTGGCTGAGTGTAGGTTCAGCTGCTTGGCCCATTGCCTACAGCAACAAAACAGGCAGAATACGGGATCGTGTTATCACACTTTCTGGCAAACCAATAAACTACCGGGTTTCTGACGAAAAAGGCAAGCTCGACACGCACAATACCACCCAAACGTCTACATGCACGTGAACATCACACCCAACCACATTACCACAAACACCAAACAAATCAACGTGTTCGAATCACCAGGAACAGAAGCCGTAGTCCACACCTTGATGTCGGTGTGCATGAACTCTCCCTCGACCCACATCCACGTCAGCGAGAGGTGATCGGGCCCCTTGCTGGAGGGTCGGATAACGGCCTCGCCACGCGTGTCGCTCATCTAAATTAGCAATACCAATGTCAACGCCGAACAAACAAGAGACAGTGGGTACTCATGTTGTGCATGCCTTAACTGTTAGACCACTTACCACGGGGGGGGGATAGCGAGCCAGGAAAAACAAGAGGATGGAAAGGAAAGGAAAGGGGAGAAGCCCGCCATCATGAACCATGGGCTTTACGAGAGCGCTCAGCGCCATGAGTGCCATGTAACAGGTGAGGCTGGAAAACTAGTGCCATGGAACGGGTGCGACTGGAAAACTTCATCGTCAGACAAAATTAAACAGGCACAAATGATAGATAATTGTATTAGGGGTGGACAAATGGAGGTAACCGGCGGAGAGATCGGGACATTTCATACATTCTATGAAGGCAACAACTACAACTACAACAANGGAGAGATCGGGACATTTCATACATTCTATGAAGGCAACAACTACAACTACAACAAAATTAACAACAACAACAACAACAACAACAACAACAACAACAACAACAACAACAACAACAAACCAGCAGCAGACTAACCTCTTTAAGGAACTCCTCGGCCTCCAGGTGGGTGAAGTTCTTGAACTGTGGGTGCATGATGCTGCGAGGGTACCGCACGCCGGCTTGTACAGCCGACGACCCCCCACCCCCTCGCCCAGCGCGGTTGATCGCCTACAGCAGCAGCAGCAGCAAGGGCAGGAGGCAGCGCGGACGCAACACCTTCGAATCAACAAGGCTGCGCCTACACGAACCGCTCAACAAAAAAATACCGGAAGCCTTTACCGTAGGTAAAAGCAGTAGCCTCTGTCGGCGTCTAACAGCCATTTTATGTTTACGACGCCACACACGTATATCAGTGGGATATCAATTCCGCGGGCAGCCAGACTTGCTAACCTATTCACCAAAAAGCATGCACACAAATGCATTGCTCTCAAAATGTCCACACGCGCGATCAAGGGCAGAGGTCGGCAAGGTACACTGGCGTCAAGACATCGAGACAAATTTAAGGCAGGTAGTCACCATAATCCCCCATGCACAGTGGTACTGGCGTCTCCGTCATACCTTCCTGTGCTGGTCCTTGATTCGCTCCCGAGCCTCCTGCTTCGCCCTCTCGTAATTAAACTTCTCGTCGAGCCTCGGCAGAGAGGCTGGCCGGTTCCAGCCCGAAGCACCAAAGACTCTAGTAGCGCCGAGGGGGGCGTCCCACTACAATACAACACAAGTACGAGATAGGGGTAAATTAAAGCAGTAGAGTTAACCTAGCATCACGATGGTTGAGGAAAGGCGTCCCACTACAACAGAAGGAGATAGGAGTACAATACAGCCGTAGTGTAACCAAGCATCGAAATGAGTGGGGAAGGGCGTCCCGTTATAATAGAAGCAGGAGATGGGAGTACGAAACAGCCGTAGTGTAACCTAGCATCGAAAGTGGGGAAGGGCGTCCCGCTACAATACAAGTACGAGATAGGAATACCATACAGCAGTAGTGTAGCCAAGCATCGAAATGAGTGGGGAAGTGTTGTAATAAAATGGTGGTACATAGAGTAGGTGTCCCGATAGAGTGCCGGTTAAATAGTGCCCACGTCCTGTACTTTGTTTAGTGCCGGCAAAAATTCTCGACACAGACACAGGCCTGAAAAGTGCCGGTTTGGCACTACTCACGGCTGCCCGCTATTGTGCCGGTTCAGGCACTATCGAACCCGTCAATAGTGCCGGTTCACACCCCACACAGAGCCTTTTTTCGCCTCAATCCTTCCATGCCAACAGGATTCGGAGACGGTTTCGCTTCGAGCTAAAACTCTAGCTCGGTTTCTCTCGGTACGCGTGACATCTTCAAATGTCATGGTTTACCGATCGACCAGTTTCCACCAATACGCTGGGATTTCAGTACAGTGAGGCGAGCGAAAAGGAAGATGGTGGCACTGTAGTGACGAAGGAGATGGAAACTATAGCCAAGGATAGCAGTGATGATGCATGAGGAAAATATGGCGTTGAGGGGAACAACAGTTTCGAGCGAGATGACCTTCCTCGCAACAAACGCCGCAGGGGCGCAGAATCTAGTGATGAAAGCCCGAAAAATAGTGGGAAAATATTATTGAAGTAGTAGTAAAGAGTGTAGTAGTGGTGGTAAATAAAATACTTCTAAGGAAGGATGAAAACACTCCGAAACGAACGCGTGTTCAAAAAGTATAAGCCTTGGCAGCCACGTAGTTCTCTCTCTGTTGCTACCATTTCTGTCTTTTACCCAGAGAATAGCTCAGCCTCCTCCATGACACCCTCTCACGGCCTTGGGAAACAAGTATTTTCTGTTTTTGACCACACTGAGACTGACGTCTTGTGGTTGACCAGTCGTTTTCCTTGCTTCTGAAGGCTTGGCCTTCTCTCTAGCTTTTTATCGAAGGAGCAGGGGAGTTCGTTATCTTCTTCACCCCCTTTTTAGGTTGCATCTGCTTTCGTGTGCTCATGTAAGGAGCACTACATCCATCCATGTTATATCTCCAAATGTACATCGGGTGCGTGCATGAGCGCCTTTCTTTCTTCGCTGTCGAGGGGTGCCTTTGAGGTTGTCTGAATAGTGCTGCGGCCTTCTTGCAATACAGCACATAATTAATGGATAGCGAGGTGAACTTTTATCGCGCAGCACGGTCTACGGTTGAAAGGCAGCAGCAACGTTTCGCTGGCAAGGGAACAAATGCTGTGCAACAAATCTAACTGGTCAATCAAGTAAATTGTAGTGTGACCAATGCCGTGTTTTCGACAGTCCATGAGCCTCACGAAACTCTATGAAGCCCGCCCACGTCGCCCACCTCACGATTGATCCAAATACCGTTCGTTTGGTACTCTGTCAGCCCCGCAAAGCGCAAGAGCTGCACTCTGAAGTCGAACAGTCCTGAATTGTGCCAAGCCGGCACTATAGAGGGATTTTTCAGGCCCTGAATAGTGACGTTTGGCACTGTTGGGGGTGTTAAAGCGGCGGAATTTGGGGCCAAAAAAACGGCCGGTCCATTCGGCAAAATTTGAGGGGGGCACGCGGATTTGGTTGGTTTTTGGTTCTTGAGAATCCCGCTGTTAATACTGAAGAAACTATACATCAAGTCAATTTGTACAGGCAGCTCTGCGTCCAGACAGCAGCATGGCTCTTCATGCGTTACACACACCTGGACACAGGTCCAATAGAGGTAACTGTAAGCTCGGTTTTCTCTTCAAGTTAAACGGCGGACGAACAACACCAAAAAACATGTTTTTTGTGGCTCTTTGCTCCACGCCCAAGGCGACCGTTGCTCCTCTCGACAAAGCGAGCTTACAGCCCTCTACCTTGGGTTTACAGCTATACCACACAACAAACCGCATCCGAATCGCATCAGCCAACCACGAGATCTACTTGTCTGAAAACGGCCCCTCCAGGGGGGCTGCAGTGCCCACACCAGCAGACCCTCCCAAAAAAAAAATCGAGGTCCGCGCCGTTCGGCAGCAGGAGGCGCGCTGCGCGAAAGCTGAATCAACACAAAACGAAGTTTGAAGAGAGGACGGGGCAGTGTATGGTTGCCACGTCAGCAGAAGATAACACGCGGCGCGCTATCGAACGCGGCAGCCTCACCGTCGAAGAGAGAACGCTGGAGGAAACGAAGGAGGAGTTGGTCAAAAGTAAGAAAATTGTGGAAGAGAGCCAGGCTCAACCTCGCTGCCGCCGCCGCTGCCGCCGCCGCCGCCGCCGCCGCTGCTGCTGCTGTTTTTTTCAGCAGCAGCAGCAGCGGCGGCGGCAGGTGTCTGCGTGGCTTCACCGCCCGGCTGCTGCTCGGGTGTGTTATGAGGCATGTGTTCTAGAGTGGGACCGCGCAATGGTGTTGTGCTGTGCCACATAGCAGGGCGCAAAGCACACAGGCGAGCCGCGCCCTCGCGCGTGTGCGTCAGAGGGTCTTTTCGGGAGGTTCCGACGGTTTCGTGCAATTTCATTGGTTGGTCGATTTTCCATCAGCAAGATCCGAGGACGCTTTTTCGAATTTTTTCCTATAGGAAATTTTCCGCTTTGACACCCCTAACTGTTCAGGCACAATTCTGATTAGTGCCGGTGCCCGGTAGAGTGCCGGCCAAATCGCCTGGACACATACCGGCACTATATCGGGGCACCTATGTACTTGGCATTTCATAATGGGGTCGACATTGTTTGACCGACGGCATAGATGTACCAAGCCCGCAATTAGAAGATGCGACCTATTTCCAGGGATGTACATTACCCGGGTCAGACCCCTCTACCGACCGGTAATTTACCGCAAACCAGCAATCGGTGTTACCGACCAGTTATTACCGCGAAAAGCGGGGATGAAAAACGACTGTCCCCGGGTTTTCCAGACGTCTACAAAAGCAAGAAGTGCTTGAAGGCCTTCCACACTTACGCATATCACTATCAAGGGGTTGCTCGAAAGCGAGCCCCAAGAATTCATCGTCGTCTTTCAGTGCCTGTGTGTCGGTGGTCTGCTGTAGATACGCTATGCTCTGACCTCGGGAGGGACTCAGTGTGGTGAGTGTGGAAAGCTGCAGCAGCTGTTTTGTCGTTTTTCCCTTCGCAAGGCAGAGGCTGAGGGGGTCTCGCTAATGGGGGGGCGGGGGGGGGGCACGAAACTGTCAAACATAACAGCAAATTTTTACTTTACCGACCCCTCCAACCCTTCACCGGTAAATTAGCGGTATATCGGTAAAGTGGGGGTGTTTACGTCCAATAACTTGTGAAGGCTTCGTCTTGGGCAGAGTATATGAGGATGAGGCTATACAACGATCGCCACGCCCACGGGTGCCATGCAACCTTGAGCCAAGTTTTGCCTTCCTCCCTCACCTTGTCCGGGTCGGGCATTGTGTCGCTCTTTCTCAGGGACAGCTTGAGCTCGAAACGAGCCTTGTCGACCTTGATGATGGCCGCCTCCATCAGCTGGTTCTCCTTCACGACTCCCTTCAGGTCAGCTTTCTAGAAAAAACAATGATAAAAAAACGCAATGAAAAAAAACGGCGATGACGAACGACTAAAATATTATCATCCAAAATATAAGCCGCGGGCCGCGAATAGCCTGAGAGCGTAAAAGAACCGAACAACGGATCGAAGAAAGGATCGAAAACAACAAAACAGCAACTTTCGACCCGGCGAACGGCGACGATGAACAAAGGAATCATGGAAACAACCAAGAGCGCGGCAATCCAACCAACCACCTATTATTGATAGAACAACCTCGTACAGTACTGTACCGTGGGCCATACTGTACAATGGTATACAATATACAACATACAATATATGCATATGTAGGATTTCGACTTTTTACTCTTCGCAGTCGTTTTTCTCCTCTGGGACAGCGATTTTTTTAGCACTCTCGTCTGCATGGCACGCAGAGGACCCTTCGGTATATTATCCGTTACGCGTGGGGCTCGCGAGACACCGATGGCGCGCGTTAGGACCGCCTGAAGTCGCTGGGACTGGCTCTTTTTTCACGGGTTGGTAATCCGAACCAAAAAGCCTCCTCGAACGCCACGAAAACTGAAAACAGCACTATTTTTTTACCCCGCGCCACGCGCCACGCGCCCACACACCTGTTGCTGTCATTGTTGTGCACACAACCACCCCACGGCAACTGGCGCATGTGTACCCACAGCGGGGATCAAGACTCTTGATGGTCAAGGGAACACACAATGCGACCCAACTCTGGCAGCGGTAGTTTGTGCATTTCAATTCCGAAAAATCGAAAGTCAAATATACAAGTGGTCGGGTAGCAGTCTATATCTGTCTGTGACTGTTCTTGGGCACGTCGAGTGTCTCTTTGATCCCTTGGAGGTGGTGTGTGCGTGAAAAAGTCCCACATACCATGGGAAACACGATCGATCACACAAGAGGAGAAAGTGACCACACGCAGCGGATAACAGCAGTAGGGCCTGCAGCAAACCGCTAGCCAAATCCACTCACCACTCGCGCACAAGGGAACGCCACGGTGAGAGAAAACAAATTACCCCGCACATGTGATGCAAATTCCAGCGGAAATGGTATGCAAGTTGTATGCTGTATGATGCACGCAAGCCGGCACTACCGAACGTTATGACGACCGACCAACCACGCGACCGCGATGGCATTGATTGGCCATGCCCTCTTGCGTCGCCCCTGGGAGGAAAATCACCTAACTCCCGCAGGGGAACCTTGTACAATATACTGTATGCACCTGGCCGGTGATGGGGTCCGGGGGAAGCACGTCGTCCGTGACGTAGTCGCCAGGAACGAAACCGAACAGTCCCGGACCGCCTTCCAGTCGGACTCGAACTCCGGCATCGTTGTGCCTCATGATTCGCACGGGAACCAGCACTCCCTTTCGAAGCATTGAACCAAAACAAGCGGAAGAAAATAAAAAATAAAAAAGCGAAGAGAGGAAGAGAGAGACGCGTCGGTGTCCATTGAATATGGACACGGATACGTTAGGCACAAGACGTTTCAGCATCGTACAACTGAACAGTAGACCTACCACCAAGCATTAATTGCCGGTCCAAAGCGGCGGAGCCATCTCTCGCTCGATCGATCGTAGCACTTGCGGCAGAACGTGTTGCGGTTCGGCGATTCAACGTGAAAATATTCGACTAGATAGTTCCAAGTGGGGGGGGAGAGAGAGATAGAGAGGGTAACGTGCCACGACCACTTCCAATAACAAGGATGCAACAGCAGAATCGAATGTTTATGTGTTGGGTTGATTTGATCGAACTTACCTCTCGAAGCGTGGCGTCCGTTTCTCCGGTTAGCCACTCGAAGAGCTCATCCTCACCGGGAGTAGAGTAAGGCATTCGACGGTCCCTGCAAAGTCACACGCGATTAGACAGACCATGTGTCGGGATAAGACACAACCACGCGTTTGATTTGTTCACAAAACCTTAACCACACACCTCCTGTCATCAATTGCACTTCACTGTCTGTATTCAGACAGCGTAGCACGTCATACGGCCGCAAATAGTGTTAAACATGTGTATGCTGTCGCAACACCGTTTCACAGAGCACACATCGTATCACACCAGACCACACATCGTATCACACATGTACCACCATTTGATTTATCATTTCATCATTTCCATGCCTGTAAGGATAACGGATCTCCTCCACGATGCTGTCGAGCTGCTGCGCTCGCTTGCCCTCCCCCTGCCTCTGAAGCTCATCGGCGTAGGCCGTCAGGTCCAGCTGGTTCACCTGTTAGTTTATGTTCAATTCACACGATAGACGACAGAACAGCAAGAACGTCGATGCCAGAAAAAAATGCCGTGTCATCAACGAACGTACGGACATCAAAGCGACCACAGCAAGACGCAGAAAACCAAAACGAGCGAGGTAAGGTTGTAGTTTTTTACACGGAAAAAAATAGTACCGCCTTCGCCGGATAGAAGCACGACTAGATACGTCACTTTTCGAGGGAAAAAAACATCTGCGAACAATTTTTGTGGCCCTCTCACTGATTCGATGTCCGTTATTAGTAAATAGTAGCCGAGAGAGACAACACAGGTGACAGAGCTGAGAATCAGTTAAACCCTCCCATATTTTCATTCCCCTCACCGAATCGTTGAGGTTGTTCGGCGGCATCCTTGGATCGACCACAGACTCTCCCTGTTGACAAAGCCGCTGAAGAGCCTCCCTAGAGTCATCCATCGCACTCTCCACGATCGGGAAGTAGTCGTCCTCCACCTTGATGCAAAAAAACAAAAACAAAAAAGGAAGTTCAGTGATTGGTTCCTTGCATTGGCCAGGCAAAGAGATGGTTACAAATAGACTGCGCTGCATGTGGATAAAAGCGTAGGATCCATCGCTGAAGTGCGTTTCTGTTGCTGAGGTGTGTTTTCTGTGTTGCTCATCTGTTGGTTTCGGGGGGGAGATAAAGACTAGCCAAAGTGGAATGTGCCATGCATGTCTCTTCTTGAATCAAAAAGAATCAGATCGTGAACATGAGTTCGCGTGCGCAAAAACTTGAGAGCGGTCTACCGTACTGTAATGTGGCAATCAGTTATCAATAGCTCTCCGCGATCGACCGGGAGGCACTCCGCCTGACTACTGTGAGTGCTTTTGAATCCAAGGACCCGATCAGAGGTTAACGTGGTGCCGTACCTTGATCGGGAGGACAACCCAACTTGAAGAAAAAACGATCACACGCTCTCCAAGCAACTCGAACCGGATGCCTATCATCGTTAAAACATACAAGTACTCAAGACTGAGGCAGGAAAAACCATCCGTAGCAGAAAGATATAAACATGCAAAAAAATTACTGGAAAGTGAGTACCGGGGGAACCAGGAAAAATCGTCTACTACAAAATACAACCCCAATCTAGAGACGTACTTACCTGCACATCGAGAGCGTTGGCACAGATTCTTTGCGCCCAATCCTGCGTGTTGTAGCACTCAGGGTGCACCCTCGTATCATCGAACGGGTCCAACTGTCCCTCCAGTTGCTCCGCAAGCCTGACGTGGAACGAGGCAGCGCTAGCGTTAGCCGTAGCATTAGATTTATGGAGAGTCGGGGACAAGACAAAGCTTTCGAGATAGTGGCGTATATAGTTGGAGGCGGTCTCGTGCATATGCATTGCCGTTGTTGATCTATACGTCCTTCTAAACAAAAAATATAAAACAAAAATACCATCCTGCTGTCAGTTTGTGTCTTGCGTCTAGCCTGCTTTCGCGGTGTGTTGTAACCACAGACAAAAAAAAAACTGCAACCATGTTATGCCTATCGATAGGAAGAGGAAAAACAAAAAAAAAACAGAACTCACTTCCCCCGCTCGCGGATGCGCAGAAACCCGGCTGCGTTCGTGTATACGAGCGACTTGAGCACCTGCGAGCTGAGCAGCGCCTTTCTGGAAGGCACCACACCCCCCAGCACGGTACCCAGCCTCTCCCTGAGCTTGAAGGCCTTGCGGGGGCCCAGCCCTGGTACGAACTGCAGGAGCCCCACGGCGTGCTCGTGTTCCGCCGCGTGGTTGATGTCAACGCCTGCTCGCATTGAACATTATATTGCGGTTTGGGGTGATTGATTAGTCGACTGTCGGGACAAACGATCGCTCAACAGCGAGCCATGGGTTGCACATACAAGTACATGGGCAAAACAACTTTCAGCAGCGTAACGGCTGAAACATTCGCCCGTGCACATGCACAAGTACAGGTGCAAGTACAAATACAGGCAAGAGATGGCCACCCCCTCCGCAAGAGAGAAGAGAGGTTGTTTTGTTAGCGTAGGGTTCGACAAAGCAAAAGCTACACGACGAGAGGAGCCATCGCCCCGCTCGGCCATCAAGTGGGTCGTGCAACCAAACACAACAAAACAAAATGCCAGCCTTACCGACAGCGCTGACGGCGTCCATCATGCGGTGCGTCCAGACCTTGAGCAGCTGCTGCGGAGGTACCTGGTCCTGTAGGGGGTGAAGTCTGAGAGAGAACATCTCGTGCCCGAAGTTTCCCGAGCTGTCCATGGTGGTCCACATGCCTGATAAGGGTTGCGTGTTGCCGTCAAGGCAAGTAAAAATCGGTTCAGCCGGCTACAGAACCGCAGGAGGGGGTCGATCCCCCCCCCTCCTATGTGACCCCGGTTGGTCGTCTAGTTGGTAGAAGGGGAGGATAGGGGCCAGAAGGGCAGACGATAGAGCCCAATGATGGGAGGCAAAAAAAAAAATACAGTACATTGCACAAGGTTGGACATCAACGATGCCAGTGGAAAAGAGGGGGTGATGTCAGCGGACCAGGACATTACCTTGACAACAAAACGTGACGTCAATAACGCAATGGGCCATAGCTGCCGCACTTCGGAGATGCCTTGAGTGTTCACCTGTCTACTTGGTGCGTATTCTTGCCAAAAACTAACCCGCCCGCAAGTCACACCTTGTTACCTTGTTGGTAGCACAAACAGCACAAACAGCACAAACGATACACAAGCCAAATAAGATCAAGCATATTGACACCTTCGATGGTGATACAACAATAGGCAGCAACATCAACAACAACAGCAACATCACCACCAACAACAACAATAACATCACCAACAACAACATCACCAACAACAACATCACCAACAACAACATCACCAACAACAACAGCAACATCAACAACAGCGTAGCGATACCTGCGAACTCGACGAGGGGGTCCTGCAGGTATCTCGCCAGCCCAACGGCGGCCCTCTGGTTCACAGAAAAGTCGGCGAACTCCTTCTCTCCCCTGGTCGATCTCGCGAAGACGCAAGCCACGTCGTCCTTCACAGGGGCTAGCGAGCACTGCTTCCAGACTTCTTCCTCCTCATCCTCGTCGTCATAATCGCCCCTATGTCATTGAGCCATCATCGCCATCGTATTGAGGGGTTCCCGGTTGAATCGAGGGTAGCTGATAAGTGTGGATCAAATCATTCATGAAGGGTGCAATCTCACTGTCCCCCGCATGTCATTGCATGTCATTTGTGGAGGACAATCCCCTGAATAATAGTCTAGTCTCTTGTCATATGAGTTCCAACATCAACCATGTTGTCAAGTGATATTGGTACAACAATAGTGATTTCATCGGAGTGCACGGTGTGTCAATTACAAGCCGTTGTTTCGTAACAGGAATGTATGACGGTTTCAAAGACTCCCATGACCACGGATCGAAGGTTTCGCCGTGACCAAGGATCGAATGGCGTGCAAGTGACACCTACATCCATACACATGATCGGACTTCAAAATTATGCCATGGGTTGGCGGTTAATTTTGACCGTACGGCGGTACGGTAGCATACGGCATGACGGTACGGTTTGACAGTACGGTATGACGACATGGTACCCCACCTTTCTCGCTGGTACTCGCGGTGGGCATCCGCCAACACTCCCGTCTTGGGCTCTCCGTGCTGGCCAGACCTCCTGTCAACAAGCGTGTCCATCATGTACCGACTGGCCTGTCCCGCCGAGGTGCTCACACATACCACGTGTGGTCGGTTCGCCTTGATGAACGCCTGTCCGGTACAGCAGTGATCACGCGGGTTATTGGATCTCATACACGGAAAAAAAAGGGAGGGTATTTCCGGCGGTAAGTTTGGCATATCCTGTTCCATGAGAAATCGAAACCACACTGTCCCAACGTTCTAACAATCGGTAAACAAACAAACGACCATCTAAAAGCAAAGACGACTCTAGTAATTGCAGAAAACTTGGACACCACTGATGGGATGGCATGGAATGGTACGCACCTTGAGCTTCTTGGCCCTTAGGTCTCGGCTGCGGGGGATCTGCAGATGGTCTAGCACGGACCCGGAGGGGTCGATGGCAGCGGCCCAGCTTTCTTCCCGACTATCGCTGCTCACGAAGATGCCCACCACTCGCACCTGCCGTTGACATGGCAAGACAAGACATCAAGTTAAATGAAATGACGTGAGATGACTGAGAACAAATGACATGACACGGCATGTTGTGTTGGCTATGCTAGTCAGACACAACGACATGTGCGGCACCACACCAACGGACTGCCTTTGGCTATGATATCCTTAAGTATGATTTGAAAGTTGCCAGTTGGTCTTGCCAATCGAGCAAAACAGGTAGATGTCACATTGGATAGCAGACAGACGTTGTTCACGGTTTTCTCGACTAGTCACATTGCTCTTGGTGCATGCATACATCCACATGCTCAAGGATGACAGACCCACACCACAACACAAGAAGGACCAAACAAAAAAAAAGGGCGACATTGGCTACGCAGCAGCCAACAGCCAGCAAGCAAAGTTTCCTTTTCGTCCATTTAAGAACGAAAGCAAGACGTGCTTACGCCAAAGTTGCGCTCTACCTCTCCCCAGAGCTGTAGAAAGGGTAAGGTAGTCATGCACAAGGACGTAATGTAAATTATACGGCGCCGTCTCCCACCAACGAACGTCGTATGACATGCTCTTGGTAAGCATCTTCGACGTCCACCAACCAAAAAGCCTCCTTGATTTCGTATGCCGTGAACGTCCACCTCCTTCCGCCCCCCCTTCCGAAGTTCGACCCCCCTCAGGTCAATAGTCTAACGAACACGGCATGCACGCACGGCTAGGAGTACACCCTCCCCCCTCCTGCAACTTACAAACCGAACCCCCCCCAAACACGCTCCCAATGGTACAGTACAGTATAGTACCCTGACCTGGTCATTCCTGAGAGAGCTGTCCGCCTTGGTGATCTTCTGGAAGACGTTGAGGTCGCCTCTCTCGTACGGACCCACCATCAGCCTCGAGGCCAGACAAGTAGACGCCTCCTCCACGACTGCAGCCCTCGACGCCGCCTTCAGCTCGAAGACCACCTCCGTCTCCAGGGCCGGGATGAGGTGTTCCACTAGGGCCTGACGCAGAATCGATACAGGGGAGGGGGGGGGTCAGGGGGGCCGCAATAGCGAGAAATTCAGTTAATGAGGAATCAGAAACAGGGAGGGGGTACGCAGACCCTACCCCTACAACTCTATCCCAACCTCCCCAATCGCATGTTTTGTTCCACATGTCTTCGCAATCGCAAAAGCCTTCGAAGGTGGGGGCCACTATTAATAGGTCAGTCAGGGGGAACACTACGTGAAAGATCTTGAGGGCCGGGGGGCGGAGCTCTTCTGGCAGAGTCTCAAGTCAAGTCAAGAAGCATCATTTATCATGTATATGGGTGAAGGGGGGTTATGATATGGGGATCGGGTGTTGTCGGTAGGGATGGAGGGCCACGGAATGCGCGGGATTGGGGAAAGGGTCTGCAGAAGATACAACAGGGATGGGGGTGACATGAGGCAAGGAAAACAATACAGAGCACAACATGAGAAAAAAGAGGAAGAAAAAACAATAAAAAGGGTGATGCATGAGGCAGATCAAGGGGACCATTGTGTCATTGTAGGGCATAATCGCCATCTGCAGCGTCAGCTAACGAGCGCGGTAACATGTACAGCGTCACGAACATGATGTTGTGTCATACGGTGGTGCTGCTGGTACCGCTATCGCGAGACTTTCAACAGGCGAGCTTTGATGTGTGCTGTATGGGGCTGTGTGTTGGAGGGTGCTGTGCTGTGTGGTGTTGTGTTGTGTGCTGAATGGTGCATGTGTGTTGTATGCTTAGGGTTAGAGAACCGACCTCGTGTAGGACGAGGTTTCTCTGGTGATCCCAGCCCTGTTTCACCGCGCTCGATACCCCTCCCTCAGGATTGTAGGTAGGCTTGAGAATCTGAAAAACAGACCAAGACAAAGACGGAGTTTGAGGGGGGAGAGAGAGAGGGAGGGCGGCAGGCAGGCCGGCAGGGCGAAAGAGCGAAAACGATTGACAAGTTAGGAGACAAGACACGCACGATTAGGGGCTCACTGGAAAACACAAGAAAAAACATAAATATATATTTATATATACAAAGACGTACACCAGAGGAAAGTGGAAGGGGCGAGATCAAAACATCGATAGCGAGTGGAAGGGGCGAGAGAAAACGATCATGCTCACAACGATAACGACAGACAATTCCAACAAGACACAGCAGTAACAGTCAGGGAGAAATTGCGACAGCAGTCACAGGCCAATCGGTTTCCAAGAATAGAATGATAAACAAATTAAGTCGCCCACAACGCCGAGAAAAATCGAAAAGCAACCTGGCACGTGCGACACGGTCCACACTACCCACAGACAAGCCGTTTCAACAACGCCTCATGAACTGTAAGGTACTGCATTGCATTGCATTGAATTGAATTGCATTGCATCCTCTTCTCACGTCCAGGAAGGCCTTCTTGTTCAGCTCGAAGGTTGTCACCATCTCTCCGTTCTCGTCCAAGGACTGAACCTTGTTGTCGGGAGGGTGTATCACGTACGTTAGCAGACCCTCCGCCTGACAAATGTTACAAAAAGTAGGGACGGGAGACGAGAAGACGTGTAGACGAGGGCGTAGGGAGAAGGGAACCGGGGTCGATAACGGGGAGGGGGGGATAGAATCATGTGCAATCATGTACTTTGTATTACGTACATATCTGCCATGTACTTCGTCGTAATGCACAGTTTTTTGTGTTAAATGCAGGAGCAAAAGAAGGTGGCTGGTCTGCTTTTTCTTGTTTTCGGGTATTCTTATGAATGTTCAGTTAATGAGGCCGCCATATCGAAACCTCCATCAGCACACACTAAACAAATCGGAGCATGTAGCACATCATAACCGACGCACACCGCAGTCGAACGAGGAGCATGATAGATCCTGCTGTACCACTTTACCTTTCCCTTTTCGATCTGCAGCCACTGAGTGCGGTCCGACCCGTGCGTAGACAAGAACTCGGAAATGGCCTTCCTGTCCAGGTAGTGCAGGCCGTAGAGGGGGTGGAAGGCGTCGATCTCCTCCTTGCCCTTCGCGGTTGGGGTCGTCGACACCAGCGCGTATCGCCGGTACGTCGCACGGCACCTGGGGGTAGATATCGTGGNGGGGGGGGGGGGGGGGGGGGGGGGGGGGGGGGGGGGGGGGGGGGGGGGGGGGGGGGGGGGGGGGGGGGGGGGGGGGGGGGGTACGCATGTGTCAGTTGGTGTAGAAAGTTGGATATTTTGGTGATGCATCCATCCATTTCGAAATGCGGCACCGTTGCTACTGCTGCTGCTGCTGCTGCTGCCCCACGAGGCGACGCCTTGAAGCCTAACGGCCTTGTGGACCTTTCAAACAGCATCGGTCGTCGAAGCTGGTGGCTGGTGGAGCATGTGCGACACCGACTGTCAAAATAGTTGTTTTGGGCTGTTTCATCAACAGCGCGAGAGAGGGAGAGCTGTTTCATTTGCTGACGTCCCGCTGCTCCCGTGTACTTCCACTGCTCTTCCCCTGTCAGAGAGCCGGGCCGGCACTCTCAGTCACCGCCGTTGGCGTGTCTGTGTGGGACCCCGTGTTGGTGGATAGTGGGTGTATGCCATGTGCCAGACGAAATGTGTGCGTCTCTCGTCTCATCAACTCTTTCATTGTTTTTTCTCTCACGCACTGATATGTTGGGTCCCCAAACCTGAAATATATAAAAACATAAAATACCCAACACAACAACAAGCAACACCCCAACCCCAACCCAATACCGTTTTTCTCCAATTTAATCCCGAGCCATTTTGATACATGTACTGCGTCACCAGACCCGAAAACAAAGCATTCCAAAACACACTACTGTCCATTTTTTTTTTTTCTCCCGTCATCGGATTCTGTCGTCTGCCCCTCTGGCCCTATCCTCCACTTCTACTAGCTAGACGACCCAAAAGGGGTCACATAGGAGGGGGGGCTGGACCCCCTCCTGCGGTTCCTACCTGAGGTATTTTTATCGCGAGAAGGGTACAGCAATTCCTTCCCTCGCGACTTACGAAGTCGATTATGGTTTACTAACAACGAGCTTTGCAACGCGTCGCTTTCATCCTAGACCAGGATTTACTTTGTGAGAAAAAAAACTCCCTCTGCCGGGACTCGAACCCATGACCTGGCTGGCCCTTAGCAGGCTGGGAGGTTACCCACTAGACCACCGGGGCGACTGTCTACATGTAGGCATGTTGTTCGAGATCGTCATCAGACGAGAATCAACAGTAGTCTGACCCCGCGTCGAAAGTACTCACTTCCTGGCAATATTTGTGCTTCTTTGTCAAGATGAGGACGTCTTCAATCAGGAGATCCCGGTTGACCGTGCGTGCATGGGCTAATGTCGGGGCACCTTTTGCTATGCTCTAGAGAAAGGTGCTGACATGTGCCCGTGCAGTCACGGACATGCGCAATCTCCTGCTGGAAGACGGCCTAATCTTGACCAAGAAGTCCTAGTGTTGCGAAGGGGTGCTTGCCTCCGACGAGGGGGCAGAACTACCAATAATACTGTAATACTAAAGTAATAATACCATAAATACACACGTGAGAGGTGTGGGTACGAGGGACAGCTGGTCCGCTGTAGATACTTCACGCGGGTTCAGAGCGTGCAATGACTGGTATGTAGAGAAAAGAGATTTCCAAGGACCCACATTATCAACACATGTCATCACAAATACAGAACTCGCTCCCGTTTCGAATAGCAATGGTGGCGGGATTGTCCGAGCCGACAGCTACTTCTCAACAAGGTTACAGCAATGGTTAATTCAAGGCAACACAGGGTAGCGGGGTTCAATTGGCCGACTCGACTCGCTGTACTTGCACGTGGGTTCAGCGTGCCTAGTGACTCTGACTCTGTCCTATCTGTTGCACCAACCCGAAGGTAGATCTCCGTCAGGTCATCTGACGTCACGATCTACGACAGTCTGGAGACGGGTGTTGAGTGTATGAAGCGCCAGATGTGTGTACACCCGTGTTGCAAGTCCTTACAAAAAAACGTTTTTTTTTACTACAACAAGGCATCGATCACGCGGAGCCCCCACAGTCGCCGAATCCCTGTGGGACAGACCGGTATTCTCAACAACTCCGGCTGTAGTGGCGATCCCAAATGTGGCCAACCTTCTAAAGCAACCTTAGGCATGTCTGTACAGCGTGGTGCTATCAAAAATTTGCACGGGATCATTCTTGGAGCGCGTCTAGAGCGTTAAAAGGTCAAATTGCGCGGGAACTTGCCAGAGAACTCAAACAAAATTGGAGGTAGACGTGTGGGGCGTGTTTGGTCGACATCTAGGCGATAGTGTGCACCACATGGTGTGCTGGGCAACCCATCATGGGGGCATACGCGGGGTACCATCGATTCTGCGGAGCCCCGCTGTTTTTTTTTTCCTGCTTTTCTGTGGGACTTGCAACACGGGTGCGTATTCCAAACAAAAAAAAATGCCTGCCACCGAGACAAATAAATCTAGCAATCAAACGTGGGCTGGTCGTTATGCCTTTTCTTACTGGTCGCTAACGGTCCAATGTCGTGGCCTAAGTGCACTTGATCAGGACACTGACTTTTGCTCTACGATAGCCTAAACACCGAAGTCCCTGCTACGTATATATCTCGTCCAGATACAGTACACCCCACACGGATCGAAAAAAGACTCCAAAAGTCCATCGCCCAACAACAACTGTTGCTGTTCATACTAAACACTGTTCCGATTCGATCTCTGTTCAGTACTGTCATCTGTCCGTGCTGATGTACCACTTTTTGCGGTCGATTCCCGTGCTCGCAGGCAACCTTCCCCTACAAAAAAATATCCTAAAATCACATGGACCCGAAGCATACCAATTTTCGACGCAAAAAAAAAAAAAATCACCACATGCTAGTCACTCACTTGGCCTTTACCCTAGGCTCCGCAGCGATCTCTCTTGCCAAAATGTGCCGCACGCCTTGAAGGAT